CCCTGCACACACACACACGCACACACACGCGCACACACACGCACACGCACACACGCGCACACGCACACACACGCACGCACGTACACGTTTGTCGCAAATCGTTTCTTTCAAATGAAATATTCCATCCTGTTTCACCGCCTTCTCCCCCCTCCTCCCGCTCAACAAAAAAAGCAAATAAATAAATGAAACGAACCGCGTTCGCCAATAACACCGTGGCCTTAAAAGACGAAAAAAACACCACACACACACACGCACGCGTGTTCCGTGGAGCACGTTTCTGCGATGCTACGAAGAAGGGCCATTGCCCAAAACGTCGCCTATTATACGGTATTTTACTACGGCCACACGGGTCTTGTTGTTGACGAATGTGTTGAGGTTGCGTTGTCGTTGTTTGTGCATGTGTACCACTGCCAATATTAATGTTTTAAATGTAATTCTCATCGGGCCCCGTGATGTAAATACAAGCAGTGTCCAACCCTCAACATCCACTCCGTCTCACTACGGCTGGCCCTCTCCAATCATCGTGCGCTATGTAAGGGTCATTGCCTGAAACGTCGCCCATTAAATGTGAGTTGATGATTGGGTAAGTTGGTGATTGGGTGAGTGAGTTAGTGAGTGATTGATTAAGTCGATAAATGGGTGAGTGGGTTTATGGTTGGGTGAATGAGTTGATGAATGGGTGAGTACGTGCGTTGATGAATGGGTGAGTGATTTGATGAATGGGTGAGTTGATGATTGGGTGAGTGCGTTGATGAACAGGTGAGTGAGTTAGTTGATGAATGGGTGAGTGAGTTGACGAATGTGTGAGTGAGTTGCTGAACGGGTGAGCGAGGTTATGAATGGGTGAGTGATTTGCTGACTAGGTGAACGAGTGAGTCGATGAGTGAGTGAGTTGGTGAGTCGGCAAGTGCGTGATTTCACCATTTCTCGTAGCTCGCGACGCGGTGCCCTGCATGGTACGGAGACCCCTGTTCCCTGGACGTGGTAGCTCCGTTCCATCGCCCAGGCCCCGAGCCGTATCGATGTTGAACTTACTTCGCACCGTACGTAGCCCATCGTGCTAATCAAAAATGCGGGGGAAGGACAACTAAACACAAAAAGCAGTTTTAAAGAAAATAATTTTAAATGTGCATGGTTCCAGTGGGTTTCACAATATCGGAAGGAAGAGCGTTCCAGACGGCCGCAGAAGCGCATCTGAAAACGCGCGATGCGGTGACCGCCTTTGTTCGATGGCCAGACAAAGGCCGCTGCGAGGATGACCGGAGTTGGAACGATGTGTTACGTTCCTTGACGAGATCAGCGAGCTACTTCCATCTCTCGCCCCTCGACTCCCCGAGGAGAGAGCGGAGAGCCGCGCGTGTGCTTTCGGAGGGAGCGGCGGCGCACCGCACTCCGAACCCGGCGAACACCGAGTTCGATTCCTGGCCACGGATAATTATCATCGGTGGAGAGCGATATCTGAGCCGGTTCTAGGCGTCTCTCGCCTAGAACGAGTACCCGGGTGCAGTGTATAAATATCAACGATGGGGGAGACAAAGGCGGCCGGGCGTGGTGCTGGCCACCCACTCCCTCGTGTGCCTTGCCGGCCTTCATAGGTGCTATTCGCTAACAGCACTTGCCCCAACAGTCTGTTAAGGCTACACTGGAGGGATCTTTATCTTGTGTCTCTGCACACGTGCGCGCGCGCGTGTGTGTATGCGCGCGCGTGAGCGTTATCGCGCGCGAGGGAGAGAAGGTTTTTGCAGGGGGTGCGTGTGCGGTGTGGTGTGTGAAAGGAGAGAGGGGCGGTGGACAGAGGAGGGAGGAGAGCAGAGAGAGAGCGGAGAGTGGCGGGCGTGACGCGAACAAACAGAGAGAATCGCTCTGCGTGGCGAGGGGAGACTGAGCGAGTGATGAGCGCGGGGGGCGCGGAGGATGGAGGAGAAAGGGGGGGGGGGCGAGGAGAGTGGGGGAGGTGGAGGGGGGGAGGTGGAGGGGGGAGGTGGAGGGGGGGGGGCTCAGGCTGAGCGTTATGGTGGAAGTCAATGGTGGGGTCCAGTGTTGGTTGGGTTTGTTGTTGATGATGATGTTGTTGATGATGAGGTGATGGCCGTGCGTGATGTGACGCGCAATGATGATGTTGTTGATGATGAGGTGATGGCCGCGCGTGATGTTGTGACGCGCGATGATGTTGATGAGGTGATGGCCGTGGGTGATGTTGTGACGCGCGATGATGATGTTGTTGATGATGAGGTGATGACCGTGCGTGATGTTGTGATGCACGATGATGATGTTGTTGATGATGAGGTGATGACCGTGCGTGTTGATGTGATGCGCGATGATGATGTTGATGATGAGGTGATGACCGTGCGTGATGTTGTGATGCACGATGATGATGTTGTTGATGATGAGGTGATGACCGTGCGTGATGTTGTGACGCGCCACTGTGGCTGGGGAGCCGGCGCGAGGGTCGAGGAGTCCGCAGCTCCGCCGAGAAGACGGCGCCATCTCCATGGCGACTCTCGACACCTCATCTGGGGAGGTGTCGTCTCTCGTTAGCTCGCAGCTCCTCCACCCTCGTTACCGCGACTCCGCACAACAACGCCGCGCGCGCACACGCGCGCGCGCGTCCCTCCTCGCTGCGCGCCACGGGACTCGCAAACCGCGGGTGGGCAAACCGCGGGTGGGCAAACCCGGCCGGCTCCAGGAGGTACACGTGACTCTCTCTGTGCGGACTGTGCAGCGCGGCTCTTGAAATATCGAAGGGTTCATTTGGGAGTGGTTTTTTTACATACCGAATTCGAACAAAAATTGGCTCTTCGTGTTATTTTGCTTGCCGACCCCTGACCGTGGGAGTCCAGTTCACCATAAAAGCCCAGTTCACCATGGAAGTCCAGTTCACCATGGAAGCCCAGTTCACCATAAAAGTCCAGTTTACCATGGGAGTCCAGTTCACAATGGGAGTCCAGTTCACCGTAGAAGTGGATATAAAAAATGGATCTTGTTATTTTGGTAGCTGATCCCTGGTATAAACTAAACTATATATATTTGTTTATTTTACCAGGTAAGGCCCACTGAGCTACATAGCTCTATGTCAGAAGCGACCTGGACACACGCGATGGTCGCTCAACAAAGTGGCACATCACGTGCACATTTATCGCAGACGAATACTCTAAACGCACGTTGATTCTAAATGTGGAGTGGAAAACCGCAGGACCCCAAGGAAAATCCACGCGACCACGGGGAGAGAGACACGCAAACTCCACATATACAGCAGGCGTCAGGGTTGGGATCGAACCCACGACCTCCTGCATACCATGCGAGGTAGTTAACATCTCCTAGCCACCACGGTGGCGAGATATTCCCAACACCTGTCCCCAGAGTTGTTTGTGGTTGCGACTTGCTGAAACCGTGCCCCGATTGGACTTCTGGGGGGGGGGGGGGGGGGGGGGGGGAAGAGCTTCATAGCTCATCGGATTTCTCCAGGATAAAATATGACGAAGCACAAATCGAGGATGGTGTTTATATTTCTGAATATAACCACTCCAGTTGGCCGCACTTTACGATTAAACAAATTACTGGATGTTGACGCAGCTGCTGCTGCTGCGTGGACAGTGGTGCACGAGAACAATTAACAACACTCAAAAACATTCGTCAATGACACCACTGTGTGGCCTTAGATGAAGGCGACGTTTCGCGCAATGGCCCTCCTTCTCATAGCACATCTCAAGATGATGCTTGGAGCCAAAAGAAGTGGTACAATAATGTATTTCCTTCCAGGGCAATGGGCTCTTAGCGCCACCTAGTAGCGACATCATGCCAAGAGTGTCGTACAATGCACGAGCTTGTTAGAAGTAACCGCGGTGCCACGGTGGCTAGGGGATGTTAACTACCTCGCCTGCTATACAGGAGGTCTGGGGATTCCATCCCGACCCTGACGCCTGTTGTATATTTGGAGTTTGCATGTTATCCCCATGGTCGCGTGTATTTTTCTCCGGGTCCTCTGGTTCCTTTAGAGTCATTTGGCTGCTATAAAATGTGCAGGCGATGAGCGACCACTTCGTTGAGCTTTCATTCGTGGTCCGGGTCGCTCCTGGAAAAGAGCTACACAGCTCAGTGGGCCTTAACCTGGTAAAATAAAACATTGTTTAGTTTTTAGTTTAACTTCGTGATTGTTGTTGCTTTCTTTCATTTCACTTAATATCCCTTTGCCAATCCACTGCTGGATGAAGGGCCCCCCCCACGCCGTGTCAATCATGGGGGGGGGGGGGGGGGGTGGCGGGGGGGGGCCGTATTTGACCATACTTCACCACGTTGGTCAGTGCGGGTTGATGAAGAGTAGGTGGGGGGGGGGGCGGGGGAAGGGACATCCGATCCGGAAATGGTTTTAGATGTCAATCGTCATTGACATTGATTCGCCGTGGCCGGGAATCTAACTCGGCGTGCCTGTGTTAGGAGATGCGGTGAGCTCCCACCCTTGCGACCGATGATACCCAACGTGTGATGTCACGAGTGTGCAAGTCGCAGTACAATCACTCGCCACTGATGCGAGCCGTGACCGAGACTCGGGTGTGGTTTCACGGTGAAAATCCCTGCATCGTGGGAGTAAAACAAAACGCGCTCGCTCACCCCACACACACGTGTGCATGCTTAAGGGAGCATAAGCCACGTTACTCGCAGCCTCACTGGACCAACAGTACAATGTTGAAAGTTCTCGCTTAACGCGTGGTGTTCACACAATGCGTTTCCGCTGCAACGCGGTTCATCCATTCGGGGACACTTTTCGCACAACGCGCACCGTTATAACGCGGTTTCTGAGTGGTCGACGATTTACCGCTTTCTTGAGATGCGTGGCCGAGCGCTGCGCTGGAGTAAGTACGCGATACGATACAGTTCACGCGGAGACGAAACCCCCAGCTACTTGTCCCTCTGCAGTCTCACTGTGTGCGCGATCAGTGCGGGTGGCTACGTACGGTGCGTGAGAAGTTCAACATACATACATACGTACATGCGTTACATCATTTAGGGGGTAATTTTTTTCGCTTCACGCGTTTATTTTTTTACTGAATGCGGCACTTTTCGGGAAAGGCGTCCACCACGTTAAACGAGCGCGCGAACGCTGTGCGGCATGTTGCATCAACACAGCCAGTGCAGTCACCGGCAACTGGGGCGAAACCGTCAACTGACTGCAACGGAGAACCGCGGTTTAATCACTTTTTTGGTCGGGCGTTCGAGACCCAGAATAGAACTCAGGGTCTCAACGTTGCGGGCTCGGTGTCACCGGCACGGTTAGCAGCCACCGTTCCGACTCTCCACTTCTTCGAATGTCCCCGATGGCGCGAGAACCAGGGATCGCCGGAATCGTCACCGCTCGTTCCGATGGACGGCTCAACTCCCCAACCTCCCGGCCATCGCGCGTACGTCTGGCATTGCCGGTCATCACAACTCACAGCAGAGCGCCCACCCCCCACCAAACACAAAAGCACAGGCGGTTTAGACTCAAACCATATTCATCACCACCTCTTTGCATCGAGAGCTTCACAATATAACCGAATTGCAATCACGAATCACAATGAATTGCATCACAATGACCTCCTAATTTCACGCACAATACGCGCGCGCACAAAAAAATAACTACCAGTTCTCTCCCGTTTGTATTATTTACAGCTCATTACAATGGACGGCAATCCAGGTAAGAGTGCTCGCACACGCACGCACTCAAAAAAGACAAAGATCCCCCGTATAGCCTTAACGGGATTGCTGGGGCAAGTGCTGTTAGCGAGCACCTATGAAGGCCGGAACGGTACACGAGGGGGTGGGTGGCGGCCGGCACCACGCCCGACCGCCTTTGTCTCCCCAGTGGCGATGTTTACACACCGCACCAGGTACTCATTTGAGGCTGAGTCAACCTAGGGAAGGCCCAGGACCAGTTCAGATAATCGTCACTGGTGTTGGTCGTGAGCGGCTATCTGACTCGGGCGGCCAGATTCATAGCGCAGTGCCCTAATCACTACACTACCGCTCCCCGCGCACACATACGCACACACGTATAATGCTTTCAGTTCAAAAACCCATTGCATATACATTGCAACTACTTATCCTAAACACATCCCCATCAGCCCGAGCTATAATTGGGTCACAAAAAATCATTTCCCCTGAATGCCTTTTATTTCATGCAATATTCCATCAATTTATCCCGCGACAAAAAAAAGAGTTCCCAAGGTACCGGCGAGTAACATTTATCTGCGAGGTCTCGTGACCCGGTTCGATTGCTCCTTTATGCCTATCCCAGGGCCTAACCAGCCCCCCCCCCCATTGAAGAAATTACTGCAAAAAGCAGCTCCCACCGGCACGTGGTGTGCGAAACGTCGGACATCGCGCGGAACAACACCGCGCAGAGGCGCAACCCGAGAATGCGTGGGAAAGCGACGCGGCATACACACAGAATCCTGCACACACGCACAAAGATCCCCCGTGTAGCTTTAATAGACTTGGGGCAAGTGCTGTGGGCGAGCACCAATGAAGGCCGAAACGAGACACGAAAGGGGTGGGTGGCCAGCACCACGCCAGGCCGCCTTTGTCTCCCCAGTGGCGATGTTTACACACCGCACCAGGTAACTCATTTGAGGCTGAGTCGACCTAGGGCGGAGGCCCAGGACCGGTTCAGATAATGTTCACTGTTGTTGGCTGCGAGCGGAAATCGAACTCGGGTCGCCGGGTTCATAGCGCAGCACGCTCACCGCTACACTACCGCTCACACACATCCACACAACCGCACAGCCTGTTGGGGCAAGTGCTGTAAGCGCACACGTATTAAGGCCGGCACGGCACACAAGGGGAGAGGGTGAACAGCGCCATGTCCGTCCTCCTTTGTCTCCCCAATGTTGATGTTTATACACCGCACCAGGTATTCGCTGAAGGCTTGGACACCTCGGCGACGAGGTGTCCAAGTCTGCGGGCCACATCTGCTTCCCCAGCATGGACGACTCCGGCATCGCCCTCGTCAAGCACACGGGGCGCGGGGAGTCGAAGGCGCTGCGCTACGAGTTCTCCTTCGACAAGGTGTTGCAGTCGGGCCGCTAGCAGGGCGACGTCTTCCAGGAGATCTCGCAGCTCGTGCAGGTTGCCCGCTCGATCTCTCACTAGCTCACTCTCTCGCTCGCTCATTCTCTCGCTCGCTCATTCTCCCAATTTCTCTCTCTCTCGATTTCTCGCTCTCTCTCTCTCTCATTCCCTCGCTCCCTCGCTCATTCTCTGGCTCCCTCGCTCATTCTCTCGCTCCCTCGCTCATTCTCTCGCTCTCTCGCTCACTCTATCTCACAGTCCCCACGATCACTGTTACGTTGCAATTATGGCTTTATTTTTTGGTGATTTCGAAAACGTTTTTTTGGTTTGGACATGTTTGTTTTGTTTGTTTTGTTGACTTGCATCCCACTGGGATTTTTGCACACTCCGTTGGTGTACGGTGCTTTTTTTCAGGAATATTTTTGCGGTTTTTTTTTCCCCATGGATTTCTGTTTGCCAGTCACATAGTCACTTTAAGATCTTTTTTCTTGTTCGTGTTTCTGTTCATGTTTTTGTTTGTTGTGGCTGCACCCGATTCAAGCGCCGAATGGCTCACAGGGCTATACCAAAATAAACTGAAACTGAAAACTGAAACTGACCTAGGGGAGGCGTGGGACCGGTTCAAATACCAATGTTGGCTACGGTGAGGGGGAATCGAGAAGCCGTGTCGCCCGGCTTGTCGGGCAATGCGCTAACGAACTGCGTGATCGCTCCCCAACGACAACAATTGCCATCGGCAGGAGGTCACGGGGACAGACCCAGGTGGCCCTGGTTTGACTGGCAGCAAAAACGCGCCACACGCACACACTCGGGTGAGACAAATGCAGCGTGCACACAAAAAAAACAACCATATACTTAGTTCAGATCAGCAGATCCGAATGCTGCTTCAAACAAATCACATTGTGGGAAATCAACGGTGGTTGTCTGTGAAGAGAACGGCTCTCAAATGGGGAAGGTGGTGGAACTGCCACCACTGGCTACTAAGGGCCGTTATCACCCACCCAACCCCAGAGGTCAAGAGGTTAAGCAGGTAAACGCTTTTCTCGAGGTGAAGGCCAACTCGAGCTGGCGTGCCCAGGACTTGGCTGAGTTGCTGGGGTTCATCACGCGAGTTTGGGAAGCCCTCTCCCACAAATAAAATAGTTGCGAGCAATAAAACTTACCCATATATAAAGCACTTGCGAGTCGGAAGAGATCAAAGTCGGGGTGCTCGCGAAAAGCAAACGCTACTCGTCAAACGTTGCGCCAAACGTTAAATGTCCCCGCCACGCAGGACACCAGCGCTTGGCACGGCTGCTGACACGGAAGGGGTCCCCCTTCAATGAGGTGGGGAAATTTCAGGACAAGCAGTCTGCGCCGCACGTTCAGCCCAGAAAATTCTGGCTGCGGCCCAGATTCCCGGTTGAGTTGGGGAAAAAAGGGAAATACATATATATACATACACCACCGTGAAATGCGCTGCCGGGATAGGCAAGTCAAAGTTGCGGTGCGCGGACGCGGGTGCGTCACGGACGCACGGGTTTTCACGGACACGCGCGTCCCGTGGACACTCGGGGTTTTTTGACTGCGCGTTGAAACGAGGGGGAGGGCTTTCGTGCGCGGAGTTGAGCGCCGGTAGGCCCGGAGAAAGAAGACGGACGCGCAGGATGACAGAGAGTGGGGGGGGAGAGAGAGAGAGAGTGGGGGGGGAGAGAGAGAGTGGGGGGGGAGAGAGAGGGAGTGGGGGGGAGAGAGAGGGAGGTTAGGCCAGGCGGGGCGCCCGGAGTTCCATCTTGGCGACGGTGGCACGGTGAACCTCGTCGGGCCCGTCGGCGATCCGCAGCGCCCGTGCCCACATGTGGAACTCGGCCAACGGCAGGTCGGGGCCCAGGCCGGCAGCGCCAAACGCCTACACAGCCGGCACAAAGACAAAGACCCCCCCCACCCCGTATAGCCTGTAGCAGATTGTTGGGGCAAGTGCTGTCAGCGAGTAGCACCTATGAAGGCCGGTGGCACGGCACACGATGGTGGTGGGCGGCCAGCGCCACCCCCGGCCGCCTTTGTCTCCCCAAGTGGCAATGTTTTTACACACCGAATCAGCTACCCATTTGAGGCTGAGTCGACCTAGTGGAGGCCCAGAATCAGTTCGGATAATCGTTATCAGTTTTTTGGCCGTGACCGGGATTCGAAGCCGGGTCACCGGGTTCGTAGCACGGCGGCACCGCCCGTCCCCCCAACACGCAAACACACAGACACGCAGAGCCGCATGTGTGCACGCTCTCACCTGGATGGCACGGTCGATTACTTGCTGGGCCATGCTGGGCACCACCACCTTGATCATTGCGATCTCCGGTGCTGCCGCCTGCCCCCACAGACGAGCGTGGAGAAACCACCAGTGGTCAAGGAGTGAGAGGGGAACGGTGCAAGCAAGGGGATTTGGAATCGTAAGAGGCCCTGTTCATTGTTCAGGAACTCAGGCTGAGGTGTGAGAGGAATGCGAAGGGATTGGACAGACGTTCGGGGTGCATGACAGACGGATGTGCCAGGGGAGAGGGATGCGAGGATTGGCAGAGACGTGAAGAATGTAAGGGCTGAGAGACATGTGAGGGGGGGGGGGGGGGGCTGGAAGGGATGTAACGTATGTGAACGAGTGGAGGGATAGTCTTAGTTATTTCGGTAAAGTCACGTTGAAGTGAAACAACAAAATAATAATCAACGTGACTTTACCGAAATAACTAAGAATATGAATTATTGCAGTCACGAAAGCTTTAAATCAAGAGTGGAGGGATGTCAGGTGACGTGATGAGATGCACGACGGCAGAGGGAGGGAGGGAGGGAGGGAGGGAGGGAGGGAGGGAGGGAGGGAGGGAGGGAGGGAGGGAGGGAGGGAGGGAGGGAGGGAGGGAGGGAGGGAGGGAGGGAGGGAGGGAGGGAGGGAGGGAGGGAGGGAGGGAGGGAGGGCCGCCACCGCCGCTGCTAGAGGCAGCATCGTCACCTTGTTGCCGAGCGAGTCCATGAGGTGCGCCGTCTTCAGCACGAGCAGCCGCGCCTGCTCCAGCTCGACGCGCGACGTGGCCATGTCGGCCATGACGGTTCCCTGCTCGGCCAGCGGCTTCCCAAACGCGACGCGCGACTTCACCTGCACCACCGCGCACGCACGGCCAGGGTAACAGCCCCGCGACGAGCTCGCAAAGCCCGACCGTTGAAGGGAGACCCCCCCCCCCCGCCCCCCCACCCCCCCCCCCCGGCTTGTTTCTCAGGGCTGGGGTTCCCCAAAGGTGTCTTGTTTCCAAGGAGGCCACGGAATAAGATTGCCGTGTGTTCGCGCGCGGGTTTGACAACACGTTGACTTTCAAGTTCACTTCTTGACGTAAAGCTTTCGTGACTGCAGGAATTCATATTCTTTGGGTCTTTCGGTAAAGTCACGCAGATAGGTTCAAAGAAAATAACCAAAAAACTACGACGTTTCGACCGCTTGTGTTGCGTTTCGACCGCTATGCGTTGCGATCCAAACGTATAAGTTTTTGTTTGTTATTTTCTTTGAACCTATCTACGTGACTTTACCGAAAGACCCAAAGAATAAGTTCGCTTCTGTTTCACAACGGGAACTCGAGAGGCCCCGATGAGTCTCATCTGCAAGAGTGACCAGGCTCACAAAAAATGGTGGAAGCCAATAAAAAAAAAAGATTTAAATGTAAAACTATGGAAGCACAAAATCTAAATAAATCGGAGAAAAAATAACCGCATTGCACAGGAGGAATCGGAAACACTGCGCAATGTATATTCATACAAGACTCAAATTAGTTTCCTGTTCACGAAAGTTGGCTGCGACAAGTTTATTTCTAAACCGTACACAGTGCGATTACTTAGGCAAACGTGATATGTGTGTCAAACACGATTTTGCCAGTCACGTCGGCATGCAGGATCGACATCGCGTGCCACGCGACGCCGTAAATCAATTGTTGCATCGTGATCCCCGAGCGGGGACAACTCCTGGCATTAGGCGAGGAAAGGGGTTGGTGGATTTTTGGCCTACGGAGGTTGGGTGGGGGGTGGAGGGGCGGTGGGGGGGGGTGGTGGGAGGAGGGGGGGGTAGGCGAGGCAGCGGGGGGCCGTACCCTGTCGGTCATGAGCTGCAGGGCCCGCTCGGCGGAGCCGATGAGCCGCATGCAGTGGTGGACGCGCCCGGGGCCCAGGCGGCCCTGGGCTATCTCGAAGCCCCTGCCGGGCCCCAGCAGCACGTTGTCGCGCGGCACGCGCACCTCCACAAACTCCAGCTCGCCGTGACCCCCTGCGCGCACGATGAAAGAAGCTCAACACACACACACACACACACGACGCCACGACGACACCAACAAGAACAGCCGCCGTTGGCTACCAAGCGGTGGGGTGGACGTCACCACGACGCTTGCGCCAGGCTAGGTGCACTTCGAGGCCGTCACGTGAAGTGTCGATGGCTCGCCGCTGGCAGGAGGTTACGGGACCGACCCTGGTGCCATGGGTTGACTGACCGAGGACGACTGGCAGATGCACCAAGCTGTTGCTCCCCACAGCGTCAACTTGCTTGGCTTTATCGGCCCGGCGTTCTGCGTCGCGATTAGTCCACGTTGCTGTACCGCCTTCTCCTGGCGATGCCAGGGTATGGCACCTCAACACTCACGGGATGTGAGTTCCGTAATATTGATGTTGCGGTGATCCAACAACCCTCGTTGTCCCCACAGCGCTGAGTAACAGGCCGCGTGCGTAGCCACCATCGTCCAGCTATGTGTGCACGTATACGGTCGCGGAGTTGTTCGTGCACCGCGCCACGATCCCAGGGACCCCAGTTCGATTCCCGCTCACGGCCAACACCAATGACCATTATCTGAACCAGTCCTGGGCCTCCCTTGAGGTACGTGTTAAAATTGTCACTCGGGAGGCAAAGGCGGCCGGGCGTGGTGCTGGCCACCCACCTTCTTGTGTGCCGCGCCGGCCTTCATCGGCGCTACTCGCGAATAGAACTCGCTCTAAAGCAGCCCGTTCCAAGGCGATACGTGGGATTCTCTGTCTGCGTGATGCACACTTGGGTAGGCGAGTGTGCGCCTGCGCTTGCCAGGCGGGTCCTGGAAGCCGTAGACGGAGAGTGGGCGCAGCACCCGCAGCCCCGGCGTGTCCATGGGCACCAGCACCATGCTCTGCTGCCGGTGCCGCGGCGCCGCCGGATCCGTCTTCCCCATGAAGATGCAGAGCTCGCAGCGAGGATCCAGAGCACCTGGGGAAGTACACGGACACGCATGGCACATTTAATAACGACTTAAACTTTGTTTGTTTGTTTTGAAACCAGGTAAAGCCCACTGAGCTGTTTTTGAGGCGCAACATGGCGATCGCAAATTATAGCTCAACAAAGTGGAAATTTACAGCAGCCAAATGCTCTAAACGCGCGGTGTTGATTCTAAATGTGGAGAGGAAAAACCGGAGGACCCGAAGAAAAATCCACGCGGCCACGGGGAGACCATGAAAACTCCAAATATACAGGCGTCAGGGTCGGGGTCCTGTATACCAGGCGAGATAGTTAACATCTCGCCACCGTGGACGCGATGCGCACAGCGCACATGCAACAAAACCTGAACTTGCAAAAGAAATTGGGTCAATCTTCCCTCCAATGTTTTTCCCGCTTGTGCTATCGGTGTTGCGTCCTTAAACGAAGAATCCGTTCAGATCTCGAGTGGAGGAACAGTGCAAAAATGCTTCATGTTAGAAAACGGCCCGCAGAAGCTGATACTGCAGAACTGGTCCGCAGGGGGCTGCACTTTCCTGCCCACACCGCCACCCGGAGTAATTCATGTGCATCGCACGGCAGCCAAACCGAAACTTTTCTTTGTAAATACGCACGAGCTCAGTTAGAAGCCAACCTCGCACCCCTCCCCAGAACTCCACACACACGCGCGCTCGCTCACCAGACGTCCACCACTTGCGGCCATTCAGAACGTAGCTGTCGCCGGCCTCCACGATAGACGCCTCGATGTTGGTGGCATCAGAGGAGGCCACCTACAAAATTGGGGAGTGATTGCGGGGGTGGGGGGGGGGAGGGGGATGATAGGGGGTTAGGGGCAGGGTTCACGTGCGCTGCTGCTGCCACCGGTGTGCGCGGTGCTCTGTCCAATTGTGTCTCGTCTCTCCGTTGGCGCTTAGGGAGCTGTCTGATACTAGCGTAGAGGAGTATTGTGAGTAACCGATGAGGGGGCGAACAGAACGAGGTACGAGCGGGTTGACAGTCAAGGATGACGTAACGTCACGGGTTACGTAAGGGGCTTTCGGAGAGCACCTTCGGGGAACAAGGGCGGGGCCGAGCTGGGGGGGAGGAGCCGCCCAAGGGGGTTCTTAAGGGGGACCCCGTGACGAAGGTGGGGTCGTCGTGGGGAGCCAGGGTAAAGACCGGCCGGAGCGAGGGTCTCTCTCTCCTCGTCGCGGAGCGGTGCTGGCTGAACCCCCCGCTCCGGGCAGACGAGTGAGAGAGTCTAAGGGATAGCTGAGGGTAGGGTCCAAACAGTAGAAGTGTCCGGGGAAGGACCGAGATAGAGTGCACCTACACTGGTGTGAGTGTAGGATGTCGAGTGTGAGAGTGGTTTAACAAACGGCAGCAGCCCTCATAGTATTCCTCGTCTCCGCGTGGTTCTACTGCACAACACTTGCACGTGGCGCAATAGCAAGAAACACACCACAATGATTACGACGATGACGACGGAGGTATGGTGGTGGGGGGGGGGGGGTAGACGCGCCTCGTGTCGCGAGTGCGTGCGCCGCATGCCTGAGGCTCCGTCATGGCGAAGCAGGATCGGATTTTGCCGTCGAGCAGCGGCGCCAGCCAGCGTCGGCGCTGCTGGTCCGTGCCGTAGCGCACGAGCACCTCCATGTTCCCCGTGTCCGGGGCGGAACAGTTGAACGCCTGCGCGGAGAATGACGGCAAGAAACGCAGCGTTGTCGTCGCGTTGACGATTTCGGACTTGTAACTCCGCGCCACCGCCGTGCAGTGTTAGCGAGCTCGCTCGAAGGGAGAGAGAGAGAGAGAGACGGAGGGGTGGGAAGGCAAACGATTTGTGGGCCAATGCACCTCGGAAGCGTGCAGCGAGCGACCCATCTCCTCGCAGGCGAAGGCGTACTCCGCGTTAGTGAGGCCGGCTCCGTACCGGGCGTCGGGGTCGGCCTCCCGCGCCAGGAACAGGTTCCAGAGCCCGGCCCCACGCGCCTCCGTCTGAGCCGCGCAAGGGGGCGGTCGCGGGCCGAGTTCAGTCTCTCATTTGATTCCAAACTGTGCAAAATCGGCACAGCTGGCAGACACCGAGACATCGCCCGTTCGCGGCATGGAGAAGCATGGTGAAACAATCGCCGTGACCCACGCGGCGGTATTTCGTCATGCCCGTGGCAGTTGTGTCAGTGGCAGCAGCGGAGGTGGTGTTAGCAGTGGTGATGGTCTTGGCGGTTAGCGGCGGTGGCGCCGGCAACATTGCTGGCGTTGTTGTTGGCAGTCGTGGAGATGGTGGTGGACGCGGCTTCAGCGAAGGTCAGTGGTAGCAGCAGTGGTAGCGGTGGAAGCAGTGGCGGTAGTGGTCGCAGTGGCGGTAGTGGTCGCAGTGGTCGCAGTGGTCGCGCGTTGGCTGCGGTTATCAGCAGTGGCGGTGGCAGAGCTGGGCAGTGGTGGTGTTAGCATTTGTGGTGGTAGCGGCAGTGGTGGTGGTGGTGGTGGTATCGATGGTAGGGGTGGTAGCGGTGGCGGAAATGAGTGGTGGTGATGGTTACGGTGGTGACGATAGTGGCAGTGACGGTGGAAGGGACAGTTGTGATATCGGCAGTGGCAGTGGTATCAGTCGTGGCGGTAATAGTGGCAGTGGCGGAGATGGCAGTAACAGCGGTGGTGACGGTGATGCGGCGGTATGAGTGGTGGCAGTGGTGGCGGCATCGTAGCGGTCTAATTGGTGGCGGCGGTATCGGCCGAGGCGGCAGTGCCGGTGCGGGACGAGTCGGGTTCCAACCTTGAGTTGCTCCAGCAGCGGGTGCGGCTCCCAGCGCCGCTCGGACTCCCCGTGCCGCCGCAGCTCGGCCTCCGCGGGGATCACGTGCTCGCCCACAAATGCTCGCACGGCCTCCACCGTCGCGCGGGCCGCCGGGGCCAGCTCCGCCTCCCGCACCGGCATTCCGCCACCTCTACCGCCGTCACCACGCCCGCTCGCCGCGGCCGGCTTGCCCGCGCCAGTGGCGGAGAAGCGGCGGTGGTGCCGCGGGCAGCTGGGTGCCTGCGCGCGGTGGACCTTTTTGGGGGGCAATCAACGACGCAGGAGTGATCGATTTAAATCGATACTTGAGCTCGAGATATAATTGGGGACCCATGTTTGAGAGAATCAGTTAGTTGCAATCTTCGTAACTTAAACGACGTATGATACCGTTAGATATAGGCGAATGGAACAAACCGAGAGAGAAAATATGAGAGTGGGGCCAACGGTACATGCCAGGACGAAACGACAGATACGGAGCTAGATGGAAAAAATTACACGGAAATTTTTTTTATCGATTTGTTGAATGGAATCGTCACTCCATACAAACGGTCAGGACTCATCGGATCGCTGGAAAGGCGAATCGTTCTGCGTCTAATCCACAGCTACGCTGAACCGACACGCACACAACAAGGAGGCTGACTCACAGCCATGCTGCGGCAGCTGGTGCTGTAGGGCCGGCCGGATTGCCCTGGCGCACCACCGCCGGGTGGCTTGGGCTGCCCCTTGAAGATGCGGAATCCTTCTCGTGTGGCGAAACCCCAAGCCACGTCAGCCATCGCCTCCGCCAACTGGCCAGCCTCCTCGGCACGCGCCGAGCTCGCCTGACCTGCGTCGCCGTCGTCGTCACACCGCCGCCGTCACACCGCCGTTACGCACTGCCGTCGCACCGCCACCGTCGCACCGGACGTCACACCGCCACTGTCGCACCGCCATTACACACCGCTGTTGCACCACCGCCACCGTCGAACCACCGTCGCACCCCCATCATCACACAGCCGTTACACCGTCACACTCCCGTTACACACCGCTGTCGCACCACCACCGTCGAACCACCATCACACCGCCACAGTCACAACGATGTTACAAACCACCGTCGCACCGCCCTCGCACTGCCACCATCACACCGCCCCCGTTACACCGTTTCACACCCCTGCCGCACCACCGTCGAACCACCGCCGTCATACTCTCATCACACCAACGTCGCACCACCGTCACGCCGCTGCCGCTGCCGCCACCACTGTGTTAATTTAGTTTCACAAGAACAAGCGACTAAGGGTTTATAATTTGTTTTACATTTTCGCCGACGGCGACGAGTTTGGACGAACATCTCGTTCGTCCACGTGATGGTCCACGTGATCACTTCAAAGTACGAGGTATGAGCCCGTCCCGACGGGGCATTTGGCCCACTCACGCCGGCCAGAGCCCTAGCGGCCGAGTGCGGGGCGCACACCTGAGAGCGCCCGCTTGCAGACGCCCTGCAGGATGGCGGCGACGCGGAAGAAGGAGAAGGCCAAGTAGAAGTGCCAGTCCTCGACGGGTGGGCGGCCAGAGGCGCCGCAGTACGCCTTCATCGCCTCCTCGTCGCTCGGGATGCCCAGCGCCACGAGGTCGCGGCCCTTCAGCCCTGCGGAAGGCGGGCGGCGTCGGAGGGGGTTGAAGCGCGGCGGCACGCGTACGCAGACGAGGAGGAGGGGGGGGGGGGGAGCGCGGACGGTGATTTTACAGGCGTCACGCGGCAAGATTCTCCTGAGGTCGGAGCACAAATAGAAACGCGAGACGACGAGGCGTTGGGTTGCCCGATGCGCCGGTCACGCCGAGCGGTTAAACGTGTCGCCCGCTTTAGTCGAGTGACTCAAAATGAAAGTCGGCGGCGATCGACTATTTTAAGATTCGGACAGCCCAGATCTACGCGTGTCTCCGTGCATGCGTGCGTGTGCATTAGTGGGGAGCGCTCCCGCCGTGGTGCGCGCGCTGCGCTATGAACCGAGCCCGTGATTCGTGTGCGATTCCCCCTCGCAATGAATTAACAGAGGAGAATATTGAACCGATCCTAGGCTTTCCCGATGTTGACCCAGCCTTACATGAGTAGCTAGTGTTGTGCGTGAACATCAGGAAAAGGTGGCCGGGCGTGCCGTTTGCCACCCACCCCTCTCGCGTGCCGCACCATGCCGGCCTTCACACGTAGATGTCCGCTAACAGCACTAGCCCCAACAATCTGTTGAAGGCTTATACAAGGGGTATCTCTGCGCGTGCGTGCGTGCGTGCACGTATTTGTGTGCGCAGACCGGGCAGGATGGGGAAATTGCAGGGCAGATGGTGAGCCAGGCAGCTGTAGGAGAGGTCAGAGAGCGGGTCGCCCAGCGTCGACAGCTCCCAGTCGAGCACGGCTCGCACCTCCAGCCGCTCCGCGTCGAACACCAGGTTGTCCAGCCTGGCCAACCGTCGGTCGTGCGTGTATGTGCGTGCGCCAAAGTTCAGTCCCTGGAGAATCTCCCGGCAGCGCGCGGGGCGAAACGTCGGACGTCGCCCTCGGCCAACAACAAAAGTGCGACGGGGGACCGCGCGACGGACGGCACAACCGCAAACGCCCACACGGGCGGCGGTGTCGGGAGTTAACGGTCAACATATCACCGGCAACCATCGTTTTCCTCGTCTGTGCTGCCCACCGAAACTCATAATCGACAAACAAAATCGAATGATTACGTTTATTCGGCTTTGATATTCGTGCAAATGGCATTTCACGACCGTCGGGGAACCACAGATTAAGGTGGAAGGCTGCCATGCGGTGAGCCAGCCCAGATAATTGCTCCACAGTTCCCTCTTGTATCAGTTGTCTTTTCAGCCAGCTAAGTGTTTATACGTGTGGCAAGAAACCGCGGAAGCAGGAGAAACCCCACTCATGCGAGGGGGGGGGGGGTAACACTGCGCCACACAGAAGGGACAGATGATAGCAGGCCACACTTTGCTCTACTGCGTTCTGCTGGCGAGCCAGGGTATTGCACCTCAATGCACGCGGGAAGGGAGTCAACGTTGCCATTTGTGCGGTGATCCACTAACCGTCGCTGCCCACACAGTGCTGGATTTGAGGTGTGCGCCACCACGGGCCATGCATTCATCCCATCCCCACTTGACTACTGAGATGTTAACTCCCTCGCCTGGCGTGCAGGAGGTCGTGGGTTCGATCCCGACCCTGACGCCTGCTGTATATTTGGAGTTTGCGTGTCTGTCTCCCTGTGGTTGCATTGATTTTTATCCGCGTCCTCCGGTTTTTCCCTCCACATTTAGAAACATGCGTTTAGAGTATTCGGCTGTGATATATTTCCACGTGATAAGCCATCATTGTTGAGCTATCACTTGTGGCCGGATCATTTCTGAAAATGAGCAGTATAGCTCAGTGGGCATTACCTGGTCAAAAAAATATATAGTTTATAGTATAATAGTTCAAGTAAATCCCTCATCCCACTGCCCACTTTTAAAGCAGATCACAATGGAGAAGCAAGTGTTTGACACAGTGGACCGTTTTGTCACGATAAGCAACAAAAGCATCAAGTTGCATCCAAAGGCATAAGCCGCCCCACCCAAAGCAGGGAGCACGTGCAGAGGGAACTCGCTTTGAATACCCCATAACAGCCCTCCAACCCCACCGCGGGGCTCACCTGAAGTCACCGTGCACCACGCAGGTGGCCTCCTCTTGGGGCAGGTGAGCCGGCAGCCACTCCAAGAGCAGCTCCATGGAGGGCAGGCGTTTGGTCTCGCTCGCTCGGTATTGCTTTGTCCACGTCTGCACCTGCCGCCCGACGTATCGTCCTGCCAGAGATGCGTTTTTGTTTGCCGTTCGGCTACTGATTTATAATAGTAGGTGTTTGGGTTTGATCGCGTAAATATAAATGTGCCGTTAAACCCGCCACCACCCGACACAGCCAATTAGTAAGTTTAACACGTAGGCTTGTACGGTTTGTCACATAAACAAAACATGCCAATTCAGGTTCAGCACACCGGTGTGTTGGAGAGTTAAATCCACAACATTTACCATTCGAGTACGATGTTTCGCCAGTTTCACAACTCTGGCTCTCGCCTGATGAGGCTGGTTGTAATTGCCGGCGAACCGTCATACTCTCCCTCCTCATCTGCGCATAATATTAATCGCGAAAGCCTACAACGTGTTAAACTGGCTACTTATTGCAGTACGTGTAAGGCCTGTTTTTTTTCTATCGAATCTCACTGCTGGACGAGAGCGTCAGTGATTGCGTGAATAAATGTGACGGCACTTATGCACGTAGGAAAGGCCTCGCTGAGCCTCGAGAACTCGCGGGGGGGGGGGGGGGGGGCCCTGTTTTACATTGGGCAGGCCACGCCTTGACTACAAATAATGAAAGACGCGACGAGAAATTAACCGCGGAATGGAGATAGATGGCAGCAACGAGAAAAAAATCACACAGCTCGGAGAGCACTCGTGGACAAGAACGACCGAGCAAGGGAAGCAATGTGACACGATCACCGAGGCCTTTGCCCATGAAATGGAATGCTACAGGCTGACAAACAACAACAACAACAACGACATCCATACATTGGGATGTCCGGCCAAACTCTCCAGGGACGACTTGCGATGGGGGAGTGGCAACGCGGGGAACCCACCGGTTTTGCCGAAGTCGGTGAGCCCCACGGAGCTGGGATCCACCCGGTGGATTTGGCTGAGCACGGAGGTGACCGCGGAATACACCTTGCGGCGCTGCTCTGGAGACAGATCCGGCAGCGACGGGTCTTTGAAGATGCGCCCCTCGGCGTACTCCATCAGGTAGAAGGGCGTCCCCAGCACGCTGCGAGAACGGGGGCAGCAACGGCGGACGGCAACGTTCGTCGACGAGGTTCGGACGGCAACAGACCGAGCCGCATACCCGCGCGTTGGCTTCGGAGAAGCCATTCGATGGCATCTGGTGAAGCCGAGTGAAACGAAAGCTATCTTCTACTTCGCCAGGTAAGTTCCACTGAGCTGTACAGCTCAAATGATAGCCCAACGAAGTGGCTCATCACGTGAAAATGCATAGCAGCCCAATACTTAACACGCATGCCCATTCTAAATGTGGAGGGAAAAGCTGGAGGACACGGATACAAAGCCACGTGACCACTGGGAGAACATGCAAACTACAAATATACAGGTGTCAGGGTTGGGATGGAATCCACGACATCCTGCAAAACAAGGTGAGAGAGTTAACATCTCGCCACCGCGACGCTCCATTCGTCACCGTGAACAGATTGCGTGTGCACATTCCTGCAAACGCACAACGGGGGCAACGACCTGTGATAGGGCTCCAATTGCTAGGCCACCACTCCCCAGACAACAACAGTCGCCGATCGCCAGCCAACACCGGTGACGATTATCTGAACTGGTCCTGGGCCTGGCCTCGGTCGACTCAGCCTCAAATGAGTACCTGGTGCAGTGCGTAAAGATTGCCAACTGGGGAGACAAAGGCGGCCAGGTGCGGTGCTGGCCACCCTCCCCCTTGTGTGCCATGCCGACCCTCATAGGCGCTGCTCGCTAACAACACGGGCGGATCTTTGTCTTTGTGTAGACCGACGCGTGAGTGGCAGTGTTTCATACTCTTTGGTTCTATTCGGTAAAGTCACGTAGGTAAAAAATAAAACAACAAAAATCACGACGTTTCGGCCACAACACAAGCGGCCTTCATCAGGTGAAGGGACCAGACTATCTGGTCCCTACGTGCCTTAATCGAATAGAACCAAAGAGTATGGATCCTTGCAGTCACGAAAGCTTCAAATCTAGAATGGCAGTGTTTCTTTCCCACGTTGGTTGCTCTTGCAATCTTGGTGCCTGAAGGACGACGATTGCCTGTCGAGACTCGAGTTGTCTGCGAAGTTGTCTTCAGGTCTCGATCGTTGAGCGACGTTTGTGTCCCTCTAACTGAGACGCGCCGCGTCCAACCAGCTGAGCGTCGGCGCGGGCCCCTCCGTGGCGCTATCCTCGCAGCTTGGATTGTAACAGTTCACATCTCCTCGCAACCCGATGACGTGTCACAATCAGGCACCGCGATTCGAATGAAGATTCTGGTATTTGTCGTTGGCTCGTGCGTGCCGCGTCCCCCAATGTCCAACGTCCCAAATGCGCCTGCAGCAAATTTTCAATCGGTGCACGCTACCCGCCTTGCAGGTTAACTGTGTGCGGGCGAGTATGGTGTGGCGTGTGTGTGTGTGTGTGCGCGCATACGCAGGTGTTGGCGCGTGGGATCTGGACTCACCTGGAGTCCTCGCACAGAGAGAGCACTTGCGGTACGGGAACTCCTGCCGCTCCCAGAGCCTTCATCACCCTGCACGGAGCACAGACGCACAACAACAGAGGCAAAAGATCCCCAGTGTAGCCTCCACAGACTATTGCAGCAAGTGCTGACGAAGGTACTCGGGGTGATGGCAGTGTGGCCCGTGCCACGCAGGGATGCCTTTGTCGCCCCAGCGCTGATGTTTACATACCCCACACAAAGATACTCATTTAAGGCAGTCAACCTACGGGAGGGACCAACAATACTCCCGATATCACTCGACATTGATGTTAGTCGTGGGGCGGTAATGGAACTGGGGATAATAAAATCACGATGCCACCACTCCATGCCTTGAAAGAATCGGTTTTAAAATGTACCAAGGAATAACTGAAACGCATCCATCCCCCACGCCTCCATCAGCTGACCAACTCCGAAACAATTATCCACCGAGCAAGTGCGACATAAATGCATTCATGCGGCATTATTATTATTATTATTGTGAATACAGGGACCAAGAAAGAGCAGCCACAGGTCCCCCATCTCGCCATCCACATCTGCATTGGAGTGGCATGGTGGCAAGACGTTAACTAACTCGCCTGGTATACAGGAGATTGTGGGTTCGATGCAGACCCTGACACCAGGATATTTGGAGCGGATTTTTCTCCAGGTCCTCCGGGTTTTTACCCTGCAGATTTAGAATCAACGTCACGCGCTTAGAGTATTTGGTCGCTATAAATTTACACGCGGTAAGCCACTTCGTTCAGCTACCATCACGTGTGGTGGCCGGGGGTCGCTTCTCAAAAAGAGCTAATTAGCTCAGTGGGACTTACCTGGTAAAATAAAATAAAGATTGCTTAGTTTAGCAGCAGTAGTTTGCATTTTTCCCCGACGTGAATAATAACTTTTCTCGGATCGTTCCAGAATCCGGACCTCCACGTGGCGCCGATTAGCTGCACCTGTACTCCCTCTCCACGGCGTGCGCCGATGGCAGCAGCTTTCCCGGCGGCTTCTTGCGCAGGACGAGCTTGCGGTCGCCACACTCCACGTAGTACGTTGGGTTGGACTGGCCGTGCCGGAACTGACGCACGAGTAGGGCGTCTGTTGAGGTGCAACACACACCATAGACTCGACACGCACCATAGACTCAACGCTGCACCACAGACTCAACGCTGCACCACAGACTCAATGCTGCACCAGACTCAGCACTGCCCATACACTTAAAACTGCCCATAGACTCAGCACTGCCCACAGACTCACACTACCCATTAACATTGCCCATAGACTCAGCACTGCCCAGAGACTCAACACTCCCCCTGTAAATTAAGCAGGCCCGCTCCTTAACCTCCTTTCGTTCCTCTCTCAGAGCCTCACCTCTTCTCCTTTGACAATTCTCTTCCTCCTCCCTTCCTCCCCTCTCGTCCCTCCACTTCTTCCCATCCCTCCCCTTCCCTTTCGTGACCCCCACGTGCCCACTATTATGGTCACTCATTCAGAATATCAGAATCATATTTATTTATACTGAAGGAATCCAATGAGCAATAAATCTATTTTTCCCAGATGTTCAGTCGGGGCAAGCCCTTGCACGCCCTTGCCACCTAAAACACTCGATTGTTGTCGCCGCTTTATAAATATAAAATAAGATAAAGCGTATGAATACTACTGCTGCACACAATAGGAGAGTTCTAGGCAGCAAGAGGCACGATCGTGACCACTGGATCGGCCCTCCCGATCGTACACGTGCAATGCAACAACATGATGTGAATGTAGCGTCTCAAGCCGCCGCTGTTGCAGAAAGAGCGTGACGCACGCATGCACGCACGGGGGAAAACCACTGGAAATAGGGAGATATCAGACACGTAACAGATTATTTTAACAAAGGAACTGCCAACCCTGTAAAAACCCCAAACACGAGCTCCGTGCACCAGGGCGCTTTGCGACCTGCTTGAACGTTACCGAGCGTCGGACGTGCCAATAAAACGAAATAAAAGCGTAAACATCATTTGTATACGGTATTATTATTTCCCGCTCACCCGCGTGCAGCCCCAGTGCCGTGTGCAGGTAGGCAGCCAGCGCCCGCTCGTCAATCTCCAGGCCGGCGCGCACGGCGCCGGTGTCCGGGGCGCCGTGGGACAGCGAAAAGCCCAGCAGGGACTCCAACTCTGCCAGTGCCACCTTGAGGTCCCCCACCTGCAAGGGAGACAAAATCCTCCCAATTGGTATCATTCGGAGAGCGCACGCTTTCTCATCAGATCTAAACTAAACCATCGGAACAATTTTTATTTTACCAGGAAAGGCCCACCTAGAGATATATAACTCTTTTTTCACCCCATTCAGCGACGTGCCCTACCCCAGGCCGACTTGCTTTCCTCAGCGGTCAACGTGACGTCTCCAACCTGTGCCTCTGTTCCCCGAACGCACGTTGCTCCTCCCTCCGTGTCTCGATGTTACACCCGACGTGCGTTCCACCACGCCTCGTTTGCCGCGCTTATCAGGCGCAGCCCTTCCGACGCTGGCCGTGACGCGGCACGACCCCGAGGCCACCAGCGGAGAGCCGCACGGCACGACCGGGAAACGCCTACGCGGCGGAACTTTTCCATCGTGGCTACGTTGTGTTGTTCGTCGCCGTGACTGTCGTCGTTCTTGGCGCGTGCAGTGGTCGCGGGGGGAGGCACGCACCTTGATGGTGCGAAGGCCCAGGGCCCGAGCCGGTGCCAGGTTTTCTCCGAGGTCGTCGAGAAAGACGGCAGCGCTCGGAGGAACCCCGAGCTCCTCCAGGCAGAGCGAGTAGATCCTGGGGTCCGGCTTCTTCATCCCGACCACGCACGACTCCACCACCTAGCCCCACGATGAAACCAAATGCCAAGTGGCCACATCTTAAATTGTCACACTGCTGCCAAAAATAATCTACGCCTTGGGTTTCCTGCTGGCTGCTGGCTGGGCTCCTGTCCAGGACGTTCAACAGAAGAGCGCCCTGGAGCGCCCTGCCCATTGTCGCAATCTGTACAATCGCGTTTTGTTTTGATCACGAGCATAAAGTAGAACAAATCCATGCACTTTTGCATTCGCGTCAAACACCAGCCAAGCGGGGCAGACGACTTCAGGAGGAGCCGAGCGAACGCATCCGCAATAACCGGCGGCGGCCCGTCGGGAGGCGCCGCGCTGACCACGTCGAAGAGGGCGCGGTCCAGCGGGAGGAAAGTGGCGCCGCCGCGGACGTAGAAGTTGTTGGTGAGCAGCGCCGTCTTGACGCCGCGCTCGCGCGCTCCCCTCAGCGCCGCGAGCGCCCCGGGCACCGGCGTGGCGAGCTGCCCCACCAGGTGCGCCACGAAGCCGTCCACGCTCACCGCGCGCCCCGCCTGCTCCCACGCGGTTAAAGCACAAACGACAGCGGGCTTTTCAATTCATCGGCGTCGGCCGCGGTCGAATCCACATCAGGCCAGGCGAGGGGGGGGGGGGAAAGGCAGCCACGGCCGTCAGCCGGCCCCAACGATTTTCCAAGCTCTGCAGCCCTCCAGGTACTCAGGCATTCATTCGCTCGTTAATGCGTGTTTACACGCGGGCGGAAACAGCAGCACGTGGAGAAGACGCCACGCGTGCGAGGGGGAGACACTCTTGATCCCATACGGACGGAACAGGTGGAGTCGACATTTATGCTCTACTGCGCATTCTACTGGTGAGCCAGGGGTAAGGCAAGTGCGATCCACCGACCCTCGGTGCCTGGATTACAGGCCACGTGCATAGCCACCACATGTGTTGTTATTGTGTCGGTGTGTTTGTGACCACTATTATTGTCGTGTTATCGTTGGAAATATTTGATCGCGTCTGGGGTTACGTTACCACTGTCACAGCCTTACAGCTGCTGTCGTTGTGCATGTGCATCCTGTGTTCTCGATTCACTGCTGGATGAGGGCCTCCCACCACCGCCCGGACCAAAAAATCCTCATTTAGATGGGTTTTGTATTATCCGTGTTTTCATTTCGTCCGCTCCACTCTTGCCCCCCATCACCCCGGCTAATCAAGAATTGCCCGCCGGGTGGCTCAGCGGTACGGCGAGCCGCTCGCGATCGAAAGGAGCGCAAATTAAAATCCTGCTTGGGGGTTGACTCGGGCTCTCATCCATGCTGCTGGGGTCGATTAAAACGAGCACCACAGCGTGGGGAAGTTAACGGCGGTTCTCCTTTAGGGGGAGGATCGCCTCCCGTCATAGGGATTGGGAGTTTCCACCGCTCGCTCAAGAGCTGCAGCGACGAAACTGTGCACAACCTTGAGCACCGCCGCCTTGGTGCTCATTTTGAGCAGCAAATCACGTGACTTAGAACCGCAAGTTGACTGTACGACCGGCGTCTGTGGACGGCGATCGCGCTCGGCGCTGCGTACGATTCTGGAGCAGTCGGCGCCGAAGAGCTCATCGAATCTCTCGGGCGACATCTCCCCACGCTGGTAGCGGCACCACGCGTTCGCCTCCCCGCCGTCACGCAGCACGCGCAGCACCGTGCCGCCCGGCAGCCCGCACGCCGCCTCCCACTCTACGCACCACCCACACGCAACCTCCGGTTAGCACGGCTGGCCACGTGCGCTGCGAAAGAAGTTCGACACGCGTACATGCACAAGCACGCACCACGACGGCAGCGATAGTAACGACGGCCGCTGTTGGCCACTAAGTGGCGGTGACGTCACCACCCGGAGCTTGTCCCATGCTAGGTTCACTCTGACGCCGTCACGTGAAGTGTCGAAGCCTCGCTGCTGACAGGAGGTCACGGGAAAGAGCCAGGTGCCACGTGTTGATGGACGGAGATAACTGACAGATGCAACAACCGTGCTCCCTACTGCGCCAACTTGCTGCATTTTAACCGCCCGGTGTTCAGCTCGTTGTTCCGAGCGTCACTCCTCTGCCCTACCGTGTTGCTGGAGGGCAACTACCTCCAACTGCCCAGTAGCGTCCTTCACGAGCCTCAACAGAGGCCGATCTTGACACCGCTGGTACCAGTGATCTGCAAGTCCACTCAGCCCAACATTCTCCTGTACCACATTAGTCCCTCTCTTCTCGAGCCCATGCGTGCCCATTTAGCCTCCTCTATCGGGCCAAACAGAAGCTGCTTGGACATGCGGTGGCTGGGCATGCAGACTACGTGACTCAGCCAATGTACCCTCAGCTGCCGGAGCAGCTCATCGATGGGACTACCCCCTACTGTTTCAAAGATCTGCGAGCTCCTCACACAAATCAAGCATGGTTAAAACCAGGATGGATCATAGGGAGACCAGCCGGAATGTATTAAACCAGCGCAGACACACACACAGCATACACGACCCCTGTATAGCATTACGGACTGATGGGGCAAACGCTGCTAGTGGGCACCTATTAAAAGTTGTCACGGCGCACGAGGCAGGGGGGGGAGTGTGGTGAGCACCACAGTCTGGCTGCCTTTGTCTCCATGTTTCCCACTGCGCCAGTCATGAGTTTGCGTCAAACAAGGCGAGACCCAGGCCCTGTTCAGATATTCGTCACTGATGTTGGCCGTGATTCGGAATCAAACTCAAGTTGCCGGGTTCAGAGCGCGGTGCACTAACCAGCAGGCGACCATCCCCACGCCGTATGGTGGCTATACGACGCCAGAACTTTCTGACAGCGTGTGTATTATAAGCGTTATTGATTGCGAAGATGCAACAATGACTTATGGAAGACTCGTGCCGAGCAAACTTCAGTTGAAAAACTTTTAAGCAATTCTTATTGACACTGGAAGCACATCAAAGAAACCAAAACAACACGACAGAAATGTGAAATACAATTCCTAAGTTATGGGAAACCGACATTGTGATGATCATCACATCGTGACATTGAATATTGTATCATGCAAAAACGATATCACAGCAAGTCCACCTTGCACTGTACAGGGACAGCTTCCTTTGGCTAGACTTAAGCTGGGCATCGGAATTGTCCAGGTGGGACGTGATGCAAGGTGCTTCGAGTTTCAGAGGCATTTAAGTGCCCCATAAATACCAGCGACCCTTGTCCTGCCGGGCCACTCGGTCAGGACGAGGTTCCTCGCCGCGCCTTCCGTAACGACGCGGCGCAGGAGCGCACCTTGAATGGGCGGGTACGGCGACGGCAGGATCACTCCTCCCATGTCGAAAATGACGGCTCTCACGTCGCCGGCGCCGTGGCTCCATCGCGGGCTCTCGAGCCGCGTGGCGAGCGGCGGCAGCAGCAGCGAGCGCAGGCGGGGACCCCGCCAGAGGCTCAGGGAGTTCCAGCCGAACATCCTGATCGGTGGGGGTGGAGGCAAACAAGGAGGCCAATTGGTGCCCCGCTTGACATCAGCGGACACAATTTTACAAAGTGGATTTTTGTGTGTGTGTGTACTTGTACGGTACGGTCTTTTTGTCAAGCCACTGCCGGATGACGTCCACTACATTTGGGTCGTTATTTGACCGGCGTGTTTCACGGCCGGTCGGTAGAGTTTGGTGAATGCGAGGCAGGCGTAGACGCTGGAGTAGAGGGCAACAGACGTCTCTGCACTGGCCCCTCTTCTGACAAACGTAGCCCTGCAGCAAACTGCAACCTCTGCTTTACGAGCGGCTATCACCCATTCAAGCATTGTCCAGACCCACCACTGCTGAGCTTACGAGATCAGGCGCATTCCGGATGATTCGGCCACATGGGCTGTGGAGTAACATCACGACTAAACGCAGCATTTCAATATGCGATACAGTGGGCATATTTATTGTATATCCAGGGTGCTTCAAATGATTTTTTAACACTTCTCAGAATTTGCAACGATACCACAAGAAATGCACCTCCGGTCTCTGCAGACCACCTGGAGATGACTCCCAGGCAATGTGTTGACAATGATGGCGAACAAGTCGAGACTCTTTTTCACATTTTGAAGCTATTAACATACACTTGTTATCATGTTACAGTGTATTATCCGTTCTTCTTCCATTAAAAACAATAGTCGCATGTAAGTGTTTACATTTTTTTTGAAGCACCCTGTACAGTATATAGGGAAACAGTCATACAAATAAGGACATCTCGTATGAATCAACTGCCCAAGCTCTGCGGTTCCCCAATATACCAAGGTGTTATCTGCCAATTAATGAGTGCTTACGTGCGGGAGGAAATCGGAACACTTGGAGAAAGCCCCACGCGTGCGTGGGAGCAGAACTCTACCCCGCACGGAAGGGACATGTGGGCTTAGCACAGAACGAGTTGGGGTTGCGGAGATGTGTTCGTCAGTCGATTTGTTCCTGAGTATGGACTCGGGAACAAATCGACCGACGAACAGATCTCTGCAACCCCAACTTTACTCCTGTCGATTCCAAACACGTTGCACGGCGTGTACACTGAACACGGTGAATGGCTTTCAAAGTCGTATAATCTCCTGTAGATGCCACTGGTTCTTCACGTTCTGCAGATGTCTGTCCATGCCACTGGTTCTTCACGTTCTGCAGATGCAGATGTCACCACCGCCACCTATTTGCACGGCTGGTTGAACTTACGACTCTCCGTCGGAACGGCAGGTTACCACTGCCACACGGCCTTGGGAGCCGGCCATAAATGACGTCACGCGATTTTGGACGATTTTTGACACACCCCCTCCCTTCGTCACACGGCGTGACAAGTCAGACCCCCCCCTCCCCCTCTAATATGACGTCACAAAGCTCTGCCCCCCCCCCCCACAAAAAATATATAAAACATGCTTCAAATCGCTTTAAACTATTGTCACATTGTAGTGCGTATTTAATGTGGCGCTGCACGCTGATGTTGAAGGAGAAAACATTTATTAAAAAGTTTTATTTAAGTAGAACGTGTTGTCTATATTTATTTAAAGTTGCGCATTTTGACGTGACGTCACATTTCTCAACCCCCCTCCCCTCCTCCTCCTCGTCACACATCGTCACAAATGTCTGACCCCCCCCCCCGCCTCTAGGTGCGTGACGTCATTTATGGACGGGCCCCCCCCCTTACTGCTGCTGTTGCTGTGCGTGTACAATCCCGCGTCTCGATCCACTGCTGGATGAGTAAGCCTCCCCTCTCCACGCCGCACGCTGACCATACTTCACCACGCTGGTCGACACGTGCGCGGCACAGCAGCCGCACCACCTATAGCAGCTGTTACGCACGGCGGTGGGTTCGCCCATACAACAACGCAGTGGCCGGGGGATCAACCCAGGCTCGGCTTTCTCGTTCTCGAGAGACGGGGGGGGGGGGGGCATTTAAAACGTGGCTAACAAAAAAATAATAATTTACCGGAATAAACACAAGACTATGGATTCACGCAGTGACGAAAGCTTCAAATCAAGATGCAAAGCAATGATGTTGTGTTGTTACGCATCTTCCGAAGGTCGTTGCGTAGCTATTGCCATTAGCAGCCGTTCACGCGATGGTTTATCCTTGTAAAGAATACTGTGAGCGCGGTTATTGTTAAAGTACTGTACTGTGTGTGGGGGGGGGGTGTGTGTTGGCGTTTAAGAGAGTCGTGTAACAAGCGCCGTCGTTTCTCGCGTGAGGACAAGAGTTGTGCATCAAACAACAATAAAAGTGTTACGGTTTCGAAGGATCGCGGCGTCTCGAACGTCCGCACGAAGCGCGCAGGCCGCTGGGGTCTTGACTGGGGTGAGGGGTCGGCAGCAGACAGAGGCAACCACGGAGGGCTGTGCAGACAAGAGCAGCAGTCTTCTTCTTCTTTGGTTCTTTCGGTAAAGTCACCACGTAGGATGAACATAAAATAATAAATTAATTAAATAAAATAGCACGATCAAATTCGAAACGACGCTTCGCGGCGTCTCGAACGACGTTTCGAATTTTATTGTGTTAATTTATTTTATTAATTTATTATTTTATTCTCATTCTACGTGGTGGTGACTTTACCGAAAGAACCAAAGGAGATTAATCCCAGCAGTCACGAAAGTTTTAAATCGAAAAGAGCAGCAGTTTTATGGTCGAGGTGGGGTTTTTTTTTGTTTTACCCCACTGGCGAAACGTCGTGCTGGGATTGTAAATGTTGTGGCTTGGCTCTACCAACACACCGGTTAGTGCTGTGCTAGTGACGAATTGGCCACGTTCTGTTTACGTGACAAACCCTTACTAATTGGATGCGGCGGGTGTGGCGGGTTTTACGACGCATTTATATATTTTTTATATATTTTTTATTATTGGAATTAAATAGACGCAATTTATTCCATCAGCTATTTTGTTCATTTAAGTCAGAATTAATTTGTCATCCGCCGAATACCTGCTGTGTTTGTGTGCAAGTAGTTCTGCGAGTGATGCGGCTCGGGAACTCTTTTAGTCGAAGACGACGAAGAAGTGACCTCCTCTTCTTCTTTGACAGGTTGCCGAACCCCTGGCGAAGCATGTTGTGGACTGATAATTGTTTTTTTTACCCTTTTATATGGTAACAAAACTGACACCTTTTTTGTACAAGGAGTCATGTTTACATTGACCACAATACCTGCGGTCGGAACGCAAACAAAAAAACAACAACTCTGATAATGTATGTGGCACTGTCCTTGAAATTGATTGGTCCACACCCGAGACAGCTTTCTTTAGAGCCTCGTCTCACGGTGGTGTTGGACCAGAAGACGCCAAAAAGCGCACAACTCAAAGGCAATGCACCATCAGAGTATGAGAGCTCGGGGTGAGCCTCCAAGACCCCCTCCAGACACGAGGGGGCAGTGTAAACACGGCTGTGGAGTCCTGGGGCATTTACCAGTTTGTCTCTTTTTTTATGTACACGCTTTCATTTAACTCACTCCGTCTGTTGTTGTTGTCGTTGTTGTTGTATCCTCAAATCTTGTAACTCAATTTTAACCCACTTCCCAATGTGGTATCGAATGCAAACTTGGTATACTTATGTCATACTGATGACAATACTTTATTCTATCATAAACAATATATAAAAAGTATATTTTTTTAAACATTCTTTTCTATATGTTATGTTTCGGCTTGGGTCTTCTTGTCCACGGTTAACTGACGTTGGCTGTAATTGGTCACGGTCCCCTTACGTTGTGGGAAGCTTCGGGGCCACTTCCTGGAGTCGTGGAGTTCTTCCATTACTAGTACATTTCATAAAAGCGTGTTTTTTAAAAAAGTTTGTTTTAAATATAGATTATTTTAATATGCAGTCGCCCCCTCGGCTGTGACTGACAGGGTCAGAGGTCGGCAGACAGAGGACACCACACCGTGCGGCTTTCAGCCAAGAGCAGCTGTTTGCACCACGTGTCCCCAGAATCAGAATGTTGATTTATACTGGAGGAATCCGATTAGCTATAAAGCTCGTTTTCACACATGTCCAGTAGGAGCGGGTCAAAACGTTACAATAGCAAACAAAACAAAAGCACGATGGGAGTGCAAAGCATAGGAAAGGTAAACAAACCACTTGAAATAAATATACAAATAAAACTAAACAATGTTTAATCTTACCAGGTAAGGCCCACTGAGCTATTAGCATCTTTTTCGGAAGCGACCTGGCCACAAATGACTGCTCAACGAAGTGGCTTATCGTGTAAACGAAAAGGCAAACATGCCTAATTTTCACAGACGAGAAGAAACCGTGCTGATGACTGCATGGTTACGGTTACACAAAGATACCGTTCCTCCGTATAGCCTGAACAGACTGTTGGGGCAAGTGCTATTAGCGAGTAGCCCATATGAAGGCTGACACGATACAGGAGGGGGTGGGTGGTCAGCACCACGCCCGGTCGCCTTTGTCTCCCCAGTGGCGATGTTATCGGTGATGATGATGCTGATGAATGACGTTACAGAATGAAGACTGGAAGGGAAAAGAACGAGGGGAAGGACAAGTTTGGGGATGCTGGAGGAGCTGAATTGATGAAGGAGTTTATGGTAATAAAGCGGAGGGTGGGGGTAGAGAGGATGGAGAAGGTGGAAGCCACGCGGCTAATTAAATCTAATTTTATATTTATATTTAATTAGAGCGCCTTCACTGAAGGCGTTTGACATACTTAGAAACCCTGTGACAGAATCGAATGATTAAGATGGCAGGGGCGTGCAAGGGTTGAGGTGTGAGTCTGTGGGTAGTGCTGAGTCTATCGGGAGTGTAGAGTCTATGGGCAGTGCTAAGTCGATGGTTTAGTGTTTGAGTCTATGGGCAGTGTTGAGTCTATGGGCAGTGCTGAGTCTATGGGCAGTGTTGAGTCTATGGGCAGTGTTGAGTCTATGGGCAGTGGTGAGTCTATGGGCAGTTTTGAGTCTATTGGTCAGTGCCGAGTCTAAGAACAGTGTTGAGTCTAAGAACAGTGTTGAGTCTATGGGCAGTGTGAGTGTATGGGCAGTTTTTAGTCTATTGGTCAGTGCTGAGTCTAAGAACAGTGTTGAGTCTATGGGCAGTGTTGAGTCTATGGGCAGTGGTGAGTCTATGGGCAGTGTTGAGTCTATGGGCAGTGTTGAGTCTATGGGCAGTGGTGAGTCTATGGGCAGTTTTGAGTCTATTGGTCAGTGCTGAGTCTAAGACCAGTGTTGAGTCTACGGGCAGTGTTGAGTCTATGGACAGTGGTGAGTCTATTGGTGAGTGCTGAGTCTAAGAACAGTGTTGAGTCTAAGAACAGTGTTGAGTCTATGGGCAGTGTGAGTGTATGGGCAGTTTTTAGTCTATTGGTCAGTGCTGAGTCTAAGAACAGTGTTGAGTCTATGGGCAGTGTTGAGTCTATGGGCAGTGGTGAGTCTATGGGCAGTGCTGAGTCTCTGTGCAGTGGTGAGTCTATGGGCAGTGGTGAGTCTATGGGCAGTGGTGAGTCTATGGGCAGTGCTGAGTCTCTGGGCAGTGGTGAGTCTATGGGCAGTGGTGAGTCTATGGGCAGTGGTGAGTCTATGGGCAGTGCTGAGTCTCTGGGCAGTGGTGAGTCTATGGGCAGTGTTGAGTCTACGGGCAGTGTTGCGTCGATGGGCAGTGGTGAGTCCATTGGTCAGTGCTGAGTCTAAGAACAGTGTTGAGTCTATGGGCAGTGTTGAGTCCATGGGCAGTGGTGTCTATGGGCAGTGGTGAGTCTATGGGCAGTGCTGAGTCTATGGGCAGTGCTGAGTCTCTGGGCAGTGGTGAGTCTATGGGCAGTGTTGAGTCTATGGGCAGTGTTGAGTCTATGGGCAATGGTGAGTATATTGGTCAGTGCTAAGAACAGTGTTGAGTCTATGGGCAGTGTTGAGTCTATGGGCAGTATTGAGTCTATGGGCAGTGGTGAGTCTATGGGCAGTGCTGAGTCTCTGGACAGTGGTGAGTCTATGGGCAGTGTGGGTCTATGGTGCAGTGGTGAGTCTATGGGCAGTATTGAGTCTATGGGCAGTGCTAAGTCTATGGTGCAGTGGTGAGTCTATGGGCAGTGTTGAGTCTATGGGCAGTGGCGAGTCTATGGGCAGTGGTGAGTCTATGGGCAGTGCTGAGTCTTTGGGCACTGGTGAGTCTATGGGCAGTGTGGAGTCTATGGGCAGTGGTGAGTCTATGGTGCAGTGGTGAGTCTATGGGCAGTGTTGAGTCTATGGGAAGTGCTAAGTCTATGGTGCAGTGGTGAGCCTATGGGCAGTGTTGAGTCTATGGGCAGTGTTGAGTCTATGGTGCAGTGCTGAGTCTATGGGCAGTACTGAGTCTATGGGCAGTGTTGAGTCTATGGGCAGTGCTGAGTCTATGGGCAGTGCTGGGTCTATGGGCAGTGGTTAGTCTACGGGCGGTTTTGAGTCTATTGGTCAGTGCTGAGTCTAAGAACAGTGTTGAGTCTAAGAACAGTGTTGAGTCTATGGGCAGTGTGAGTGTATGGGCAGTTTTTAGTCTATTGGTCAGTGCTGAGTCTAAGAACAGTGTTGAGTCTATGGGCAGTGTTGAGTCTATGGGCAGTGGTGAGTCTATGGGCAGTGTTGAGTCTATGGGCAGTGTTGAGTCTATGGGCAGTGTTGAGTCTATGGGCAGTGGTGAGTATATTGGTCAGTGCTGAGTCTAAGACCAGTGTTGAGTCTACGGGCAGTGTTGAGTCTATGGACAGTGGTGAGTCTATTGGTGAGTGCTGAGTCTAAGACCAGTGTTGAGTCTAAGAACAGTGTTGAGTCTATGGGCAGTGTGAGTGTATGGGCAGTTTTTAGTCTATTGGTCAGTGCTGAGTCTAAGAACAGTGTTGAGTCTATGGGCAGTGTTGAGTCTATGGGCAGTGGTGAGTCTATGGGCAGTGCTGAGTCTCTGTGCAGTGGTGAGTCTATGGGCAGTGGTGAGTCTATGGGCAGTGGTGAGTCTATGGGCAGTGCTGAGTCTCTGGGCAGTGGTGAGTCTATGGGCAGTGGTGAGTCTATGGGCAGTGGTGAGTCTATGGGCAGTGCTGAGTCTCTGGGCAGTGGTGAGTCTATGGGCAGTGTTGAGTCTACGGGCAGTGTTGAGTCGATGGGCAGTGGTGAGTCCATTGGTCAGTGCTGAGTCTAAGAACAGTGTTGAGTCTATAGGCAGTGTTGAGTCCATGGGCAGTGGTGTCTATGGGCAGTGGTGAGTCTATGGGCAGTGCTGAGTCTATGGGCAGTGCTGAGTCTCTGGGCAGTGGTGAGTCTATGGGCAGTGTTGAGTCTATGGGCAGTGTTGAGTCTATGGGCAGTGGTGAGTATATTGGTCAGTGCTAAGAACAGTGTTGAGTCTATGGGCAGTGTTGAGTCTATGGGCAGTATTGAGTCTATGGGCAGTGGTGAGTCTATGGGCAGTGCTGAGTCTCTGGACAGTGGTGAGTCTATGGCCAGTGTGGGTCTATGGTGCAGTGGTGAGTCTATGGGCAGTGTTGAGTCTATGGGCAGTGCTAAGTCTATGGTGCAGTGGTGAGTCTATGGGCAGTGTTGAGTCTATGGGCAGTGGCGAGTCTATGGGCAGTGGTGAGTCTATGGGCAGTGCTGAGTCTTTGGGCACTGGTGAGTCTATGGGCAGTGTGGAGTCTATGGGCAGTGGTGAGTCTATGGTGCATTGGTGAGTCTATGGGCAGTGTTGAGTCTATGGGCAGTGCTAAGTCTATGGTGCAGTGGTGAGTCTATGGGCAGTGTTGAGTCTATGGGCAGTGTTGAGTCTATGGTGCAGTGCTGAGTCTATGGGCAGTACTGAGTCTATGGGCAGTGTTGAGTCTATGGGCAGTGCTGAGTCTATGGGCAGTGCTGGGTCTATGGGCAGTGGTGAGTCTATGGGCAGTGCTAAGTCTATGGTGCAGTGGTGAGTCTATGGGCAGTGTTGAGTCTATGGGCAGTATTGAGTCTATGGGCAGTGGTGAGTCTATTGGTCAGTGCTGAGTCTAAGAACAGTGTTGAGTCTATGGGCAGTGTTGAGTCTATGGGCAGTGCTGAGTCTATGGGCAGTGCTGGGTCTATGGGCAGTGGTGAGTCTATGGGCAGTGCTAAGTCTATGGTGCAGTGGTGAGTCTATGGGCAGTGTTGAGTCTATGGGCAGTATTGAGTCTATGGGCAGTGGTGAGTCTATTGGTCAGTGCTGAGTCTAAGAACAGTGTTGTGTCTATGGGTAGTGTTGAGTCTATGGGCAGTGCTAAGTCTATGGTGCAGTGGTGAGTCTATGGGCAGTGTTGAGTCTATGAGCAGTGTTGAGTCTATGGTGCAGTGCTGAGTCTATGGGCAGTACTGAGTCTATGGGCAGTGCTGAGTCTATGGGCAGTGCTGAGTCTATGGGCAGTGCTGAGTCTCTGGGCAGTGGTGAGTCTATGGGCAGTGTTGAGTCTATGGTGCAGTGGTGAGTCTATGGGCAGTGTTGAGTCTATGGGCAGTGCTGAGTCTCTGGGCAGTGGTGAGTCTATGGGCAGTGTTGAGTCTATGGTGCAGTGCCGAGCCTATGCGCAGTGCCGCTTAATGCAGAGGGGACGTTGATTCCAGTGGCGGAGGGCGTGCAAGAAAAGGGAGACGGACGACCGAACACGGGATCGCGGGGCACGTGTTTATGGAGTTGGGACCGAGACAGAACTTGCCACACAAACGCAGCTCGCCACGAGAGGCGCGGTCCACTGCCACCGGCATCTGTTGGCGCTGACGTCACGCTTCCGCAAAAAAATTGACACACAGACGGAAAACCCACTTGTTGCCTGCCGCACGAGTTGCGTTAGAGCGGCGTTTGTCACCGAAACAACACGGAGCGCTGGGAACGCGCGTCCTTCTCCACCTGCAACGGGTAAGTGTGGACGAGTCTGGGCGGGTTGAGTGGCTTTGCGGGCGGAGCGTGGAGTTGGTTTTGAGTGACTGTGAGTTTGGTGAGTGTCAGCTGTTGGAAGGTGTGTCAGCTGTTGGATGTGTGTGTCAGCTGGTGCATCTGCCAAGTCATCTCAGTCGGTTAACCCGCGGCACCTGGGTCTGTTCCGTGACCCCCTGCCACCAGCGGGCCTTCGACACTTCACGTGGCCGCAGAGTGCACCTAGCCTGGCACGAGCGCTACTTTGTGGTTGATGAACATCGGTTGGTGTTGGGCTGGGGAGCGGATCTCGCGCCGGGTTCGGATTCCCGCTCACGGCCACCGAACGCCACTGACGATTAACCGAACCGGTCTTGGCCCTCGTCTAGGTAGACTCGGCCTCAAATGCGTACGGGTGTATAAGCATCGACACTGGGAAGACAAGACAAAGGCGGTCGGGCGTGGTTGCTCGCTATCAGCACCTGCCCCTGCAGTCTGTTAAAAAAATAAAATAGGTCTATACGGGTGATCCTCGTCTTTGAATGTCAGCCAAACTAAGGCACATTGTCTCTGTCCCGTCACCTGCCAGCGAGCCTTCCACATGCTTCACATGCCTTCAAGACGCACCTAGCCTGGCACAAGCGGTGTGGTGACGTCACCGCCACTTAGTTAAGATGAGTTGTCAGCAGTTGTCAGCAGCGGGTCTGTGTGGTTGAATGTGGCCAGCACCAGTGACGATAATCCGAACCGGTCCTGGGCCTCCCCTAGGTCGACTCAGCCTCAAATGAGTATCTGGTGCGGTGTGCAACCATCGTCACTGGGGAGACAAAGGCGGCCGGGCGTGGTGCTGGCCACCCACCCCCTCCGTGTTGCATGTCGACCTTCATAGGCACTACTCGCTAACAGCACTTGCTCCTACAGTCTGTTAAGGCTATACGGGGCACCTTTGTTTTGTTGTTTGTGGTTGAATGTGGATGGGCGAGTGGGGTGGCTCAGTGCGTGGGTACGTGATGAAGTATGGCTAAATAACCCCCACGACTGACACAACGTGGGGGAGGTGTTGGTGGCTCTACCAGTAGTGGATTGACAACAGTGCTGTTCATGTAGACACGCGCTCCTGTATTGTTGAAGTTATGAGTCAGAGATCATGACTAATGCAGTTTGTTTTATTTGCTTATAATGGGGATCTGTTTCGGATTAAAAAGAACTCGTATAATTCTGTAGATTTTTCTGGCAGGAAAGGTGTTGGTGTTCTACATGTCAACATCAGAGGGCTTGTGAGTAAATTAAGTCAACTAAAACTAGAAGTGGCAAATCTTGACCCGGACATTTTTTGTCTAACAGAAGCATTTCTCACTCCTGCCGTCAATGACTTGCAGATTGCGATTGACAACTACAACCTTTTTCGGCTTGACCGAGGATCTAAAGGAGGTGGAATTGCCATCTATGTTCGTAATACTATTGCATGTTCACTAGCTCACTCCTTGTTTAAAAAATGTTGCTTTGAAGGTCTGGCTCTCCAAATAACTCTCCCAAATAATCAACAGATATTGGTAGTGTGCTTCTATCGACCGCCTAGTGGGAAGGATGTTGAAGCTGCATCTGCACTGAGAGAGCTTTTTGGGGGCCTCCCTAAAGGTGAAATAGTTTTAGTGGGTGATCTAAATTGGAATTGGCTAAACCCGCCGGCCGTGGCCACAAATTTTGCTGATGAATTTAATCTGTTTCAATTAATAAATGTCCCCACAAGACCCAACCTAAAAAGTCCGGGACAGTCATCTCTGCTTGACGTCCTATTGACAAATGCCCCTCACAATTTCACACTGACTGGTGTTCTGGGTAATAACCTTAGTGATCACTCCTTCATTTTTGGGGTGAGATCATCAGCCAGACCCAAAGCCCCCCTAATTTGGTTGAGAAGCACTCTATGAGACACTTCAGCACTCAGGCATTTACTAATGATGTACGTCACTCGGATATTGACAAGGTCTGTGATATCCCCAACCTGACTACGGCTTGGGAGACCTTCAGGTACACGTTTCTCCAAATTCTTAACAAACATGCTCCGTTGGTTAGATTTAAAACTAAAGGCAACCGCCCACCATGGTTTGATCCTTTGATTACAAAGCTCATGAAAACTAAGGACAAGGCCTGGGCATGTGCTCAGAAAAGTCATTTGGTCAATGACTGGCTAGAATACAGGATTTTAAGGAACAGATGCGTAAAAAAATACGGCATGCAAAAAATGCCTACTTTTCCTCCACTCTCAGGGAATCACATGGAAATGCCAGGATTTTCTGGAAAACAATCAAATGTATCGAAAAGGCATCCAAAACAGACAATCTGCCCGTTGAGCTTAACCGAAATGGGGAATATTTTTCAGATCCCAAAAAAATAGTTGACAATTTTAACCTTCATTTTTCTGAAGCTGGTAATCTTTTTGATAATGTATTGGGAGTCACCCCTGCTCATGCAAATTCCTACACCCCTTTCCAAACATTCAACGAATTTAGTTTCCAGCCAATCCACGAAAGTAATGTTCTGAAACAACTGTCTTACCTCAAAGGGTCCTCCTCTACCGGAGCAGATAGTATTCCCATCTTTGCTCTACTAACTGTTGGTCACCTAATATACAAACCTATAGCCCATATTTTCAACCTGTTCATTAAAGAAGCATCAGTTCCTCTAGAATAGAAACATTTATTCCTATGTCCGTCCACTTCACAAAGGGGGCCCTAAAGATGATTCAAATAACTACTGACCTATCTCAATTTTGTCCCCGTTTATGAAAATTTTTGAGAAATTATTGACCTACCAAATTAGCAGTTTCCTATCCACCAACAATCTACTACATCTAAAACAATCTGGGTTCCGAAAAAAATACAACACCACATCTGCTGCATTAGACTCTCTGAATCACATTTACAGTAGCCTTGATAATAAGCAGTACTGTGCCTGTCTTTTTCGAGACCTGTCCAAAACTTTTGATACAGTAGACCACAACACCCTGCTTAGTAAACTAAGTTGCCTCGGTTTTTCCAAAAACGCAGAAAAATGGTTAAAAATGTACCTCTTTTCTCGTACCCAAACTGTATTCACAGATGGTTGAAGGTCAAACAGTGTTAAGATAACAAAAGGGGTTCCACAGGGTTCCATCCTCGGCCCCCTTTTGTTCTCTCTGTATGTCAATGACTTGGGCACTGACCTGGATCATTCCAGGGTAAATCTTTTTGCAGATGACACGATACTGATTACTGCTGGCCGCTCTCCGGATGACGTGATTGCTAAGCTACAGGGTGATTTCAACAACTACAACATCAGCTAGTTGCTCTTAACTAGTCCTGAATACCTCCAAAAGCAAGGTGCTACGCTTCTCACCAGGACTAAAGCAGGAAGTTATTTTTCCCCAATTACATTCCTGAAATAATTATCAAATAGAGCAAGTCAAGATCTATAAATATCTTGGGGTCATCCTGGATTCAAAACTGCATTTTGAAGATCACATTGATTATATTGGTAAAAAGACAAAAATAAAAATTGGTTTTCTGTATCGACACAAGCACTGCTTCCCCCCAATGTTCCGTTTGGAATTGATAAAAGCTACCATACTGCCTCTACTTGACTACTGTGACATCGTGTATAAATCAGCCCCAAGTACTGTACTGAAGAAGCTTGATTCCATCTATCACTCGGCCTTAAGATTTACATTGAACTGCCCATATAGGACTCACCACTGTGATCTCTACATTGGGTCAAACTTAACATCTCTAAATGTTCGATGGCTTGTGCACCAGATCTTATTTATTCACGATGAACTTACAAAAAAATCCGCAGACTACCTGCTGGATTTCCTCTCTGTTTCAAACAACAAATTTGACCTCAGGTCTTTGCTCAGTTACCAGCTTCACATTCCCTATTGCCATACAAAACTGGAGGAAAGGCCTTTGCTATTGATGCCCCCAGGGTCTGGAATGATATTGCCAATAAACTGCAACTTGAATCGCTACAAATGAGATCTTCTCTCAAAACTGCTCTAGAGGAGTTGTACACCCCTAGCTGCCACTGCTATTCATTGGCCTAAAATAAAATAAAATGTTTCGCTCCGGATGCTGCTGCAAAGTATTATCTGTATTTTTATTTAGCGTGCTGATCTTAAAGGTGCATTGAAAAATGTGATACTCCGACTGATGCTTCTGTTGTGGAGTGACTCATGCAGCCAGCTATGGCTCTAAGATTTGGTGTTACATGTTATTTATGTAGTTTATTGTAAAAATTCGGTCACAGTCCCTGTGATCACTGTTACGTTGCAATTATGGCTTTATTTTTTGGTGATTTCGAAAACGTTTTTTGGTTTGGACATGTTTGTTTTGTTCTAGTACGGAGTTAGACTGATGGCCTTAATCTAAGTTTTCTTGTGGTTGTTGTTGTTTGACTTGCATCCCACTGGGATTTTTTGCACACAGCGTTGGTGTACGGTGCTTTTTTCAGGAATATTTTGCTGTTTTTTTAATGTATATTCTGTTTGCACAGTCACACATAGTCACTTTAAGATGTTTTTCTTGTTCGTGTTTTTGTTTTTTTTGTTTGTTGTGGTTGCACCCGATTCAAGAGCCGAATTGCTCAAAGGGCTATACCAAAATAAATAAACTGAAACTGAATGTTAAACGCATTTCATGTAGTTGGACTTGCATTGTAATAACGGTAATCGTATATGCAATTACAATTTATAACTTTAAAAAAATACTCGTTTAACTTCAACGTTTAACATACATTTCAATGGGTTCAAGCGTTCGACGATTGCACAGTTCAAGCAAAGAGCGATGCCACATTTCAACCAACGGTGTCACGTGACGGCACCTGTGGTGGGAAGAGCACGCGAGTGATGAGTGCGGTGGATGTGATGGATGTGATAAATATGATGGATGTGATTAATATGATTAATGTTATTAATGTGATGGATGTGATAAATATGATGGATGTGATTAATATGATTAATGTGATGG